CAGTTGCACTTTATGAATTAGCCAGTAAACATGAGGACTGCCATGTTTTTCCTCGACGCAGACAACCTTACCGTGGCTAGCCTTTTAGACAGTCACTGGAGCTGGTTGATTCGACTGCTTGCATCGAAGGCAAGACCAGCGCGGGTAGTTTTCAGCCACGGAGAGCACGTCCTTGGAGGCGCCTCTGGCCTGCAGAAGGTCGACCAGGGCTTGAGCAGAAGGATGTCGAAGATTCCTGTGGAACTTTTGCGCGACTCGAAGTGCGTTTTGTTGTCCTTCAGCATGAAGATCGACGATCTTGCCCAAGTATTCAGATGGTTCAATATGGTTCACGAGCATGAGCATAGGTGCCTTCCCATAGTTGAGGTTTCTTAGCCCATGCTAGGGCAGTTGCCAGCATAGATGACCGAGCTTGTTGATATGTCTACCATGAACGACGTGCGATTGACACCATGTCCCTTCATATAGCCATCGAGGCGTCTATTTCAAGCAGCTAAACTCCGGACGACATGGTCGGCACATTGAGCAGCCAACCTCTGCCCTTTCTTAGGGCACTGCGGCATTCCACTCCTTACTTGGCTGTCGGGCTCAGTATGGGGCTGTTTACATGGATGTCGATGATCAAGGGAAACCCGCCAAGAAGGACGCCACCATCCTGACGACCAAACGGTCAGTGGCTGAAATCACTGAAACTATGTGCCGCTTGGTGACCGTGAGCATTGCCACCCTCGAGGTCCTCGGAGGATCTTTTTTCTTTTCTGAGGTCGCAGGGGTGTTTTGATCTCGTCTGATCTTGCATCTCCAGGAAAGTGCGCTGATGAGATTGAAACACGAAGTTTCAACCTGTTTCAATGTTTGACGGTCATACCAATGGCTTCTGCCACTTGAGAAAGTCGAGCACGTCCAATGTACGTAGACTTCCCACAAAACCCGAGGTGGTGCTTGATGCTCCTCCCCGACAATGCTACCCATCAGGGAATTCATAGAGTTCACTTGTGCCTGGGTCTGCATGATCAAACTCTTCCAGTGTTTCGAGGTCATCGGGGTGGTGTCTTCCGTGGCCACCGTAGCCAATTGATCCTCAACTTGATAGAAGTGCTCTTCAGTCAGGAGCTCTTCAAAGGAGCTGTGGTCACCAAGGGGCTCATCAAACTGCAGGTCGAATGAAAGCTACCAGTTTAACTGTTCGGTGTCGAAGGTGGCTCTGAGGTCCAGGAGGTACTCCTCATGGCGTCCGAAAACTGTGTTCCGCCATTCATCATTGCCGAACTTGAGCTTTTGTTGAGCGAAACCGATCGTCATGTCGAGGGGCTTGATCACAGGTCTTCCAACCACCATTGGGGTCACCTGAAACAACGAAGCCTTGAATCAGGCCATGTTGCCCATGCATTCAGATAGACAGGAATTTTCACAGTCCATGCGCAGTGCGCTGATCTTTTTGTGGTCCCCTCCAAAGTCGAAAGTTCTCTGGAATCGCTGGAAGTGGAGCTTGGAAGTGTCATAGCCGAGCTGCTTGAGGTGATGCGCAAGCGAACCAAGGGTCCAGAACCCATCAAAAACGATGAAGCGCCAGGGTCGATCATAGCGCAGTCGAGGCATTCGTGGCTAGCAGCATCCTCAAGCATGATCATGTCTCGTCGGTCAGCACAGCCATGCTTTCAACAGCATGGCGTTTGTCAGAAGATTCGGAGCCGGCTTGGGTGTAGTCGTCTGAGTGTCTTGTGCGAGGATGAACCACATCGCATGCAAGTTTGTGCCAGCGCTGAGCGGCGCCCCTTCGAATCTGGTTGCCTGCTTGCCAGGAGCACGGTCATAGCGAAAGGTGTTGTTCTTGCCTTTTCCATTGTTCTTTCTTTTCTTCCCTTTTCCCATGCCTTTGAAAGGCTTCTCACGTAAGAAACGTCGCTCAGGCTCAAAGTCATCCGCTTCTTCCTGGTAGTTGGCGGCGTCAGCGTGAAGGACTCCCACCATGTGTCATAATAGGCTTCCTCTTCGTCCACGTAGAGGCATCGTCCTCCGCAGAGGTCGGTGCATTGTCGTCCCAATCAAGTGCAGCCTCATCATAACCGCCTGCAAAGTAGGAATGTCTCTTGCTGGAGGCAGCACGGTTCCAGTGGTCACCTAGAAACTGACATTCTTCTTTTTTAGTCTTGGCCCAAAATGGCAAGCATCGCTTGTTGGACTCTGGGTCTCTCCAGAGAGGCGGCCTGCGTCATGAGTCATGACCATGTGCTTTTGTTCACAGGCAATGCGGCCTTTGCCAGTAGAAACACTTGGCTTGGAAGCTTCACTCCATGCTTTTCGATCTGCTTCAGCCGGTCATCGTTTTTGGTGATGAAGTTCAAGAGGGTCTGTTGATCGAGTCCCGCCACTGAAGGCGTCGCGTGAGCAAACAGGGCCAAAATGGCCAAGGTGCAAACATACTGACAGGTGGCCTGAATTTTCTCGTTTAAGCTCACGAGTAGAGTTATGGGTTATGGTTGTGTATGTTGATTCTGGTGCGGTTTGTTTGTCTGGCGTGATTGATCTTGTCATGATGTTTTTACCGTGCGGTGTGGGCTGAGGTGGGTAGGAAGCATGTTTGAAATTTTCCAGTAGAAGAACCCATGGAGAGTGCGAAACACTAGCTGCCTTTGCCTGCAAACTTCGATGCTAGTGAAGCAATTGAAGTGAGGACGCCGCTAGATCTCGAAGAGAGCGCGTCACTCCCTAGCGCAGTTCAGGCCTTCAGCTGGGGCACGCGCCCTGCGAACCGGTTATTGTAGACCCAATTGAACTCAAAGAGCGACAGAAAGACGAGTCAGTGGGAAATGCTTTCTTTGACGACGAGTTAAGTGTTTCAACACTAATTGAAGCCGTCTGTCAGCACTTTGGTTTCGTAGTAGGGTGCATGTTCGCGAAACGCAGCAGACAGAACGACATAGTCGTGCCTTCAAGCACTTGCATCAGAAAACAAAACTTTGGCCCAGTGCCGAACCTCTGCGGACCCGCAATTTGCCGGCTGCAATGGCCACTTTTGAAGCTTTTGGCATGTCTTTAACTGATCGTGCAACGATGTTCAATAGTTGTGCAGTCTGGGGCACAAAAAATTGAGAAATGACGGAAATATGTCCTTTTTCCTCCTCACCTCTGTGAAAGTGAATCGGGGTCAGCCACCCAAAATTGGGAGTGAGGACGAACTAGAAAGCCATGGCAAGATGACCATAGCTGCAGTGCTTGTTGTTTGTTCCCCACACACTTTCATAATGACAACATTTTAGACCTTATGAAGAGGGCTGCATCGAATGAAGGGCTCAAAATGCCTTGGAGTGGGCTTCTGACGGTTTTCAATCGAGTAGGTAATCCTTAGCCAAAAAAGAACCGTGAGGCGCAAGAAAGAGGCTGAGAGGCCGCTCAGCCACTCAGGTTGTGCACCACAGCCTTTCAGCCACTCAGGATCTTGAGTCTCTGAGTGACTGGTGCGAACTGCGACCCAGAGTGCACATACTCTCGAATTTGCCTTAACTTTGCGAAGGCGGAATTTGCGTTGCATGTCCGTAAGGGCATTGACGCGAGTCACTACACGATGAGACTTTCTTCATCCGATGCGCGTGTAGTCAGGTCGCTGTTGCCGCCGAAGCAAGAAGTTGATAGAGCTGAGCAAGCAATTGGCATGGCAGTTTCCTGATCCCGGATGACCAATGGAACTGCAGTTTGGTTTGCGTGATTATACCACTCCATGGAGCTTGTGGTTTTATGAATGACTGACACTGATACTTTGTCATTTCATTTCATGCCTGGGCGCCGGCGCACTAGGATGTCATTGCCGGTGCAAAACAAAATTGACAAATGAATCTTGCAATTGTGACCACTGACCTCGGTTTGTAGGCAGCTGTGTGCAAGGTCTAGCCTGCCTGAATCGACAGAACTTCTGAAATTTGGAATCCGAAATGGAACGGGGTCTATCAACAGGTGCCCTCCCAGGAGGGTTCCAATTCAAAATGCATTTTGCTCACCTGTTGTCCGAAATTTTGTCATTGGTTACCACTGGGATTGTTGTATATACATATGCAAGATTCCGCAGGAAGGTTGCGAGAGTGAGTGCGTCGTTTGAATGTGATACACCAACCAAGTCCATCCCAAAACGGGGTTAATCTCTCCCGAGATCTGGGCCCATAAGCGGGGCGCCGTGTGCAATAGGTCAATGAGTTGCATGTGAAAATACGTGCCTTAGTTAGGATACTCGTACTCCAGTTGATCAGTTGCATGTTTTTTCATTGGATCCTACGTTAGTCACGTTAGTCCTTCTCTTTGTACAAGTGCGTGCATGGGGCTCGATACTGTAAAATAAATTGAAGGGAATTTCTACGTCGCCCGAATTTGTTTCCTGTAGGGGCTAGTGCAGGGTCGGCTCCTGGTAAACGGGTGTAAAATTCCTTATGTTCCATGGAACATGTGCAGATGCGGTAGGGAGACAAAGTGCGCTTAGTGACTTGTCCTCTGAAACTGTCGTTTGTTTTTGGCCATGCGCCGGCGTTCAAGACTACTGCATCCTTTAGTGGGATTTTTGATGCTTTTGGAACTGTGCTCTGCCCGAAGCCGTTTGGGCTTTTGATTTCCAACGCATTGTGACCTGCCAGACCGGGTGATGTGTCAGCCAGCACATGCCTGTCAAGCACCACTCTTATGCTGCAAAAGCCTTTTCTAACACACTAGGTGAACTGTGCACAATTAGAGTGCGAGTTTGTGTGGATGGCATGGAATTTGGATGCAGCCCCACGCTTGTGAAAACTATTCCTGCATTGGCAGCCCATGCTGAATCCTGAGTTGGTCGATGGACCTGATTGACTTTAGGTTTTGTGCGCCAAATGGGTCTTGTAGCGATGGCCTCCGCCTAGTAGCTTCTTGCTCCTAGTAGCGATGCCAGGAGCCCCTAGTAGCTTCTTGTGGCTCAATGATGTGCTTTGTTTGCACAGGTTTTGCCAACTCGCCGCGTCCCCCGACACGTCCCAGGCCGGCTGTGTTTGTTGCTCGGAGGTATGCCATACCAGAGGTATTCCTCTTAGTCCGTCCGAACCCAACATGCATTGGCGTCATGAGAGAAACTCTATCCGCTATCCGCTGCCAGGCTCAATGTAGACATGTGACAGACCAGTTTGGTCCATGCCAATTTTCCGTGCTCATACATGTAGCACTCTTACAATTCCGGCCAGGCCAGCTAGCAGGGGCATTTCGAGTACGGCCAACGTGCCGTTGGCTGACTTGAAAAAGTCTACCGGAAGTGTGGCAACGCCTGAAGGACCAAGCAAGAGGACTTTGAATCTTCTTGATGTCGTCCTTTCTCCATCATGTTCAAGGCCTTCTTCAAGTGCCTCGCGTGGTTCTTTCCGAAGTTCTATGAGTTCACCTTCGTCGCGCCCGCTCCGACCACTCACTTCACCCAAAGATGTCAAAGTGAAGGAAGTGCACGGGAAAGCAGAGAGGGACACAATGGACAGGTTTCAGAGAAAGAGAAGCAAAGAGAAGATGGAGGGCAAAGCAGACAGCAAAGAGAGCATCCAATTGCCACACCTGGCAGCCAGGCGAAGCTTGGACAAAGAGAGAATAGAAAGCAAGAGTTGCTCAAGCCTGCCTAGTGCGAGGCCCAGCACCGGGCTTTCAGCAAGCACTGGGAGTCCAGGGCTAGGCGAAAGCCGCAGGGGACTTGGAGTGGACCTGTTTGATGAGATTTCTGACGTTGTAGAAAGTGCGGCAAGTGTTGACGCACGTGAGAAATCTCCTTCACCCAGTGTTGTTCCAACCGAAAGCCGCCCCATGTCCCGACCGCTCCCACCAGAGCACCTGCTAAGTTTGATGAAGAAGGAGGCTAAACAAGAAGCAAGGGAGCCAAAGATGAGCAAAGACCGACCAAATTCCAAATCCAGACGGAAGACCCGACGCTCTGGACCAGTAGAGAAGCAATTCCGAAGGCTACATGAAGGCCAAAAGATTTTTGACTTGTACTACTGGGAGGAGATTTTGCAGCAAGAAGGCGACGGTGGGAAAGTGGTTGTTTGTCGACCAAAGAACGGGTTGGAAGACTCGGACTTCAAGTCCTTCAAATATGTCATGAAGATCAAGAGCAAAGAAGAGCTTCGAAAGGATAAGCATGAAGAACAGTTCGTAAGGGCACAAAGTCGCTTGCTGAACTTGAAGGCTCCTCCGGGAGTAATTCAGTTGCAAGAGGTTCTTGAGGATGACAACTTCTATTATGTCGTCATGGACCGTGCCACTGGTGGATCCTTCTTCAGCTGTTTGCTGCAAGAGCATCAAGATGGAACGATGCCACCCAGTGCCGTGTGTCAAGTGGCGAAGGATATCCTAAGAACTTTGAGCATTTTGCATGGAGAGGCGAAAAACGAAGATGTTTTTCTCGTTTGATGGCTTTTTCCTTTCTCTCGCTTGTTTGTAAAATACTCTAAACTCTTTTGATTATGTACCTGAAAAGAGTTACATCAAGTAATTACTAATAGGTACCGTTATATTTAAGAGCAAAGAAAGAATATATATTCTTCTTTTTTTAAAACCGCTACTAGTATTTATTTTCTTTTTTTTTTCTCGAATGTCTCGTCACAGGGCATTTTGCACCGAGACATCAAGCCGGACAACTTGGTGATGCACAACGGCCAGGTGACTTGGATCGACGAGTTTGGAGAAAGTGTAGTGGCTTCTTGTTACTACTAGTAAGGCACTTGTTTCTACTAGCTTCTTGTTACTACTAGTAAGGCACCTGTTACTACTAGCGTGGCACTTGTTCCTACTAGCTTCTTGTTACTACTAGTAAGGCACTTGTTACTAGTAGCGTTGCCCTTGTTACTAGTAGCGATGCAATTGTTCCTAGTAGCTTCTTGGTGAATTTAGGGGAGGGTGTGAAAGAGTGGGGGGTTAGGCCGCTACTGGAGGGAGCTAGTAGCTATAGAGGGTTAGTTAGGGAGTCGGTAGCTATAGGTAGGTAGCTAGTAGCTACAAGTGGACGCTACTAGATATGGACGCAGGATAGCTCACACTTCCTTGAAGAAGCGCTATTCATTTGGTTCCTAGATTTTTAGGGAAACTTAACTATAGCGATGGCCTCCAAACTAGTAGCTTCCTAGTAGCTTCCTATATGTTTTCTTTGGCCCGCTCTCCTCCCCCTAAGACTTAAGAGCGATGGCCTCCGCCTAGTCGCTTGGCATAAGGTGACTTTGATCGATTTTGACCATGCAGATGCTGACTTTGACTCTTCCACAGGGTTGGACCGTGGCCAGCATTGCTTTGGCACAGCCAGATTCAATGCTCCTGAAGCTTTTCTGGGATGCTATGCTGCAGCAACAGATTTGTACAGTGTTGGTGTCATCATATACCTTCTCCTCACGGGGTCACTGCCTTATCCAGCGGAGATTTTTGATGATCGCAATCCGGCCTCGCCTGCAGCAAATCGCCGTTGGATGCAGAAAGTGGTGGCCGACATGGAAGCACACCGGGTGGACTGGAGCCATCCCACCTTCTCCAATCTTCCCAATAGTCGTGATTTCTGTCAAAAGCTGCTGGCCTTTGATCTCATGGATCACATCGCCACGGCCGACCAAGCCTTGCAACACCCCTGGCTCGTTGAGTGAGTGACGTGAATGTGCGAGTGTTCGCATGCAGCCCTCCTGTGACAAGCGTGACCGTGAAACGCAATGCCACATGGTTTATTACTTACCTTGTTTGTGACTGCAGAGTCCACCGGTTTGATACTGTGCTTGTCCAGGTGATTTCTAATCCTTGAAGGAATGCCGTTAAACACAATGTGTGTAATTTGAGCATCATGCACAAGACATCGCACACAAGAAATCAGCGTCGAAGGGTCTCCTAAGGAGATCCCGCAAAGACCTGCCAAATTGTAGCAAAAGAGCAACTGAAATTTCAAACCTAGTAGAGCCACTGAAGTCTTCTCTAGACATGCTTTGGTCACTTTAGCCTATTAGACCGCGGAGACTCCTGGACCTTCTACAAGCGGCCTTTGGCAAGAGAAAATCTTGGCATTTTCTTAAAAGATGAACGCTTCTGTTGAGGCTTTGCCCCGAATCGTGTGACGCTGCCCAGCTTCACAGCTTCAGTCACAGAGAGATGGGGCCTTTGCCAAAAAAAACCCTGAACTTCACTTTTTCTGTCTTTTTATATGTTTAATTCTTTTCCGTTCTTTTTGGAAGAAAGACGAGGTGCTTCCGTGGTTGGCTGGGTACCTATGGACATCCAGGCGAGCGAGGACTTCTGGCTCCGAGGCTCGGGCACGAAGATCGGTCGGAAGGTCGCCATGTCGCCATAAAAGAAAGAAAAAGGACATAAACAAGATAAACATTAATATTTGAATAGAACAAATAGAACCTGCTACATGATCCAGACCATTCCTACGTGTGGGAAATGTTGAAATTCGTTTGCGTCACGAGCATGAGGCAAACTAGGAGTTTGGGAGAGGTGTCACAATAGAGAGTCCTGTGGAGGCTTTGGAGGAGCCTCCTTTGCTACTTACTAATTTTAATTAGATTCTAATTACACTTAATTCTAATTACATTCTATAACTTCTTATTGTTTCTACTAGCTTCTTGTTCCTAGTAGTAAGGCCCTTGTTCCTAGAAGCGATGCAAGGAGCTCCTAGTAGCGTCCTTGCTAAAGAGTTCCTGTGGAGGCTTTGGAGGTTGGCGCGTTGGCTGCCACAGGAAGGTTAGTTGTTTATCACGCTAAAACAACTCGACATGGCTGGTGTGAGGCCGCAGTGAAGGTGGTGACGTGATGTGATGTGAACCCAGAAAAAGACTTTTAGGAACCTACTTGCGATGGCCTCCAACCTACTTGCGTTAAGTTGCTACTACTTGATGAGAAAATTCCAAATCTACGAGCTGTAAGTTTTCTGCTGGTAGCTACTTCAGCTGCGAAGTACATTCGTTATAATAATTAGATGTAATTAGAATTAGAATAGTGTTTCCTTGTTCAAGAGGCAACCAACGAAAGGCTGAGAATTGAAACTTCAATGTCGGTCACAGAGAGCTCAAAAATATGTCCAACCAAACAATATGTAGCTTTAAAAGCTTCTTTGGACATGCAACAGGCTATAGTAGGTATACAAATTAGGCAGTATATATACCTGATCAACGATTCTATTTTATAGTTGAGCACCTTGGTAACCTTACGAGCTTAAAGACCCTTCACAGCTGTTACTCTTATTGGCTAGGACTCTCTCGTCATTTGGATTCTTTTCATGCATGATAGCTTTATTGTCCTAGAATGGGGCCGTTTACTAGAGGCCACATGTGGGTTTTGGAGCTGGGGTCAAATCTGGTGCAGACATTTTCAGATCTTACTCTACTGAACATGATGTCATGGTGGAAGAGGATGCCCCAAATGGAAGTCCATGGAAATAAAGAGCCAGCATCTCACCCTGCAAATGCGATCTGAACGGCACAGTGCACAAGAAACCACCAGGAAACACGCCAGGAAGGTGTTTGTAACTGCAAGCGCTTTGTGTCGCACCCAGTGCTCGTATATAGCAGGTGCCCTCCAATTTATACTCGGAACTCAGACTTGTTCTCATGTTTTCGGTCTGGTAGGTAGGAACAGGAGGAGCACTTTCGTGTTTGCTGTTCAGATTTGTCAATCGACACGTTTTATCTTTCGATGCCATTTTGGCGAAAGCTCATTGCCAGGCAAGAACATTAGGTTCATCCTTTTCAGGGCCTGGGAGCAATGGCTGATTCAAAGAGCAAGGCAGCGCCTAAGGTCAAGGCCATGCCAGCTGCTCTTCGCAGACAGATGTACAATGCATCTGGTCGTTTCGACGACACCAGCTCGGTCAGCTCATGGGCGCCAGTGGATGCTGAGCCAACCCTAGAGGATCCATGGCCTGAGCCTGCCATGAAGCCGGTTCAAGAAGAAGGAGATCAACCAGGTCAGACTGATCGGCAAGAAGCAAGTTCGTCAGCTGCTCCAGCAGCTCCTACCACCACCACTTGATCATCCATTGTGCCACTTTGAATGCAGGTTTACTGCGACCAGCTCGCCAGACTCTTTCGGCACTGACGCGGATCGCTTGGAAATGCGATTTTGGTCTGCCAGCGATCGTCTGGATGTGGCATGCAACACTGCATCGATCCCGTCCTCATGGTTGGTCATCAGCCGTGTCTCCGGCCCTACTCTGATCAGAAACGCCAAGTGGTGTCGCGAGCACGGCCCCAGAGTGGAGGGACCTGATCAAGCACTCCAGTTCAGTCAGCTTGCAGCTATTCATGCACACTGGACAGCTCAGGTCGAAGCGACATCGATCGATGACACTGGACCTCGCATTTCGGGTATTGCAGTGGAGTCCAACCCGATCAACATGCACCTGGTCTGTGAGAGTCCTTTGTTCCGCAATCAGCAGGCGATCGTGAATGCGGATGCCCTCGCTTTGCAGCACCATGACCCCAATGAAGAAGTCATGGCCAATGTGCTCCCCCCATTGTGGAGGGTCCTGCTGTGCGGCCTCTTGAAGGTGCTCCGAAGCTGGCTCCAGCCCTGACAGGTCCAGGCGCAATGAGCCGCTGGACCAATCGGCTATGACGCCCCAGGCCTTCGTGGAAGCAGCTCGCGGCTATGGCGGCGGGTGGAGGACCACGAGCGGCCCTGATCGCCAGATGACCTCGTCAGTTCGGACCACGAGATCGTTGAAGATGGCCCGGAAGGCGGCCAGGCTGGACCCCGGTCTTTCGCGCCGGTGAAGCCGGACGAGGTCACTGAAGTGTGATCACCCTTTTTCAATTTGGAATTTGATTGGCCGCTCTCGATTGGATCCGATCGAGAATGATCGTCATCAGAGCTGAAAGTTTGCGCGGCAGCGAATGCTCTTTTGAGTTTGTTTGTTCAACGATGCAGTTATTTTATATGTATATTTTCTCCTTTGATTTTGCACTCGATCACGTCGATCGGCCGTTTGCTCCGGCCGTGATTCTCGATCGTGTGAGGCAAGATACTCAGATGGGAAGTCGGTCGTGGGGACTCAGGGGCGCACTCGCCGTTCTGCGTCAGCACCTTGATCAAGGGAGCCGACCGCTCTGTGCCTGTAGCGTCCCTACTACTAGTTCTAGTGTCCCCCTCGGGTTTCTTCCCTCCTTTCTAGAGGTCGTGAAGGTCTACTTGAGAGGGCTCTTGTTTTTCGATCGGTCGAGGTGTTCCTCAATGTTTGGTCAACTACTTTTGATCGTGGCGTGAAGTCACTTCAATGATTGATCATGGCCTTTGTCCGTTTTTGAGGCGACTAGGCTCAAGCATGATCAGGTGGTTGACCAACATGTTTACCACCGATCGGTGGACGTCCAAGATCCTTGATCTCCCCGTGTTTGATGCACCGTTCGCTCAGGCCATCAAGAAAACGCCTCTGAATTCGGTGGCGTTCGTCTCAGCCATGGAGGCTGAGTCCAGCTCGGACTTCGTGGAGAGAGTGTATGGACTTGGACGATCGTGGGATGAGTCAGTCGTTGACGTTTTTCACGGTCGTGAACTCATGCTGGAACAGTTCTGGACTCTTTCCATGTCGATCGAGAAGGCATATTTCGAACCCACGGCTCTTCAGCTGGGTTTCGGGTTGTGCGAACTGGTTGAACCCCCATCGAGCTCGTCCGCGGATCCCTCAGCCTCACTCAGGAAGAGATCGGCGATCGCCAACCTGACCGCCAAGCCTATGGTTCAGCCCAAGCGGGCCAAGACAGCGGCTCAGGATAGCTCGTCGTCCTCAACCCCCTTGCTCGACAAAGAGAGGTCCGAAAAGAAGCGTTGGGCCGTTCGGCTTGAGGAGATCGGTGTTCGTGCTGGTGAGCACGCCAAGCTTTTTCAAGAAGCACACCTAGGGCCAAACTTGTCGGCCGCAGAGAAGATGCAGCTCAGGAGCTTGGTTTTGGTCTCAGGTGCACACCGCACCATGGCGGGGCATGTTCGCGCGTTCGAACGATTCGAGAAATGGGCAAGCGCCGTGGGAGTGGTCGTTCGCCCGTTGTCAATCGACAAGGTTCTGAAATATGGCATGTTTTTGAACGGTCGTTCATGTGGACCATCGGTGCTGCCGACTTTGAGAGCGGCTATCAAGTGGATCTGTAGCAAGCTGGCAATCGACCCACCTGCTTTTGATGATCACAGGTTCTTAGCCTTGCAAGCTTCAGTTCTTAGCGAGCGTGCAACAACACTCAAAGAGGCGGTCCCCATCCCCATTCCGGTCGTGAAAGAGCTGGAGTTTTTCGTGTGTGATGAGGATCGTCCTTTGGCTGCTCGCATGTTCATTTTGGTGGATCCTTTGCATGATCTTTGCCCCTCTCAGGTTCGACGATGGAGTTCATGTCAAGCCGCTCGAGCTCTCCTTTAAGGACGAAGGGCTCTTTGGTGCAGCCTGGCAAACGAAAGTCGAGCGAAAACGGGTCGGGACTCGGTTCGTGGTCCCGAGGATAGGTTTTCTTTGTTCAGAGTGGTTAGAGGTCGGATGGAAGCTCTTTCAGCACACTCAGTGTCTGGATAGGGACTTTTGGACCCCCGAGCTCAACACACAGTCTTTGTTCAAAGATGAGCCACCGTCGTTTGCTCGGTCGTTGCAGTGGTTGAAGTACTTGAGCAGAGATCTCATTGACAGCTCGCCAAGAGTCGCTCGATCGGAGCGCGTGGACCTCGCTCGAATCATTCACACCTTCACGATGCATTCGTGCCGAGTGACACTGCTCGACGCGGCTGTTCATGCCGGTCGTACTACAGAAGAGATCGGCCTTCAGGCCAACTGGAAAAATCCAGGACCTCTCGTGCTGAAGTACACTCGTAATCGAACAGCTGTTTCAGCACTGATGGTCAAACAGCTCGTCAAAGACATGGTTCAGGAACAGCACCCTGTTCAGGAAGACGATGA